ATGGCAGCTTCAGCCTAGTCTCACAGGTCTTTGCTGCAGTCATTGGCTCCACTTTTGCAGAGCCGTCTTCAGTTCGCCATACCTCCCCTGGAAGTCCATTTCCTCAGTGAGCTTTGGAAATTAAACACTCTCTACTTGCCATAGCAAGAAATTTTATAACTATTGGTATAAACTGGGTAAGAATAATCTCTGAAAGCTATTGAAGTTGTCTGTGTGTTTGATTGAATTTCATTCATATAGTAGTTTCATGTAACAGATTTAGTCTATCATACCTTATTCAGCCAATTATACCCAACATTTCATTTTTACTCTTGATATTCATAGTGTGGGGCTTATGGACGCAAATAGTCTACATATTCTTTGGGATGTTTTAGGCAGCAGATTATGTTTTGATAATTTGAGGGGATACCTAGATCATAGAGAAATATAGATTAAAAGAGAGGATAAAAATTGTCACAATACTGTATGCATGAAAGTGTAACGGAAATTAGGTTCATTGTTCCACAGATCAAATCAACAGTGTGTTATAGCATGTTCAGAACCTTATTGCCTTTTGGGTACCTGATAGATAACTGTAATGCTCTAAATAGAGCTGCCACTGAAAGGGTTTAGCTGTGATTCAAAGAGCAGCTGATTTTTACCTTTCAAACCCTGAAATGTCAGGGCCTACAATAACAGATACCCTGCAACATTATGAACATTTGCATATGTTGGGATACTTATTGAAGGCCCCACACTCCACTGCTAGAGCTACAATGAATAGCTACATGCAGGACCATATTTTCTCCATATTGGTTTTAAGATGTTCTATTTTTGGATTTTATCTTTTTTCAGTTTCCACTTGTTTTTGTTTTAATATGGCCACCAATTATTTTGGGAAAATAGTTTAAAAATGTTGGTATAAATTTATACCTTTATTCATATTATTAATTGCTTTGGAAGCACTAAATTTTAGAGCTGGTTACTACATTTTAAATACATAAGGTTTCTTAGAGAGTACATTATTAAAGTTTTATGTGTTCCATACACAAGCCAGTTCAATGGTAGAGCACATGATTCTCATGCATTAATTTCCAAAAGTTAATCCCTGGCATTTCTATTTAAAAAAATCTATTAAAGCAAATCCAGAATTTATCATCCATGAAGCAATGGTTTGATACTCTAGTGATCTCATTGAAAAAATTCAATTCAATAAAAGATATTCATTATTTTGTTTATTTTGTGGAATCCCACCCCCCAATTACTAGTAAATTTCAACATTGTTTTCTTTCACTCTGAATCAGGACACTAGCTTCTTCTTTACTCTTCTCTGTTAAAGACTTAAAAGAAAATGAGAATTTATTTTAATTTTAAATTGTGCTTTATATTATGTTTGATATATAGAATCTTTATATCATGCTATATAGAAACACTTTTTTATTAAATGGACTTTAGATAAAACCATTCTATGTAAAGACTTCATTATACGGCTAGGATCCACATAAGACCTGTATACTTGTGCCAGATATGCATAATATTTTTTTATTAATATACCATATTTAAAGGCACAAAGTATGCTTTTCCCAAACTGAGCAGTTGACTGTTAATGGGAACTTTTGTAGCAAATGTTATAGATTAAGAATTGAAAACATTTTTTCTCCTGCTAAACTGCATTCATTCTAAGAAGGCCAGGATAATTTTTTCCCTCAGTAGCTAACAATGTAACGTTTAATTAAAACTCCTTGTTTACTACTTTTAAAAATCACATGGCAAGAAGTGCGTAGTGCATATTGTCTGCCCAACAAGTTGACTCATACAGCTCATTCCTGTATATATTTAGTTGGTATGAATTCTGTTGAGTTCAAGAGTCTTATTCTGAGATTCATGTTTATAAGGTTGGAGTATTTCACATTCTTTTATACCTTTTTCTAGGATATTTTATCTATTTATATGGATTGTATACCATGCTCACAATTCTTAAATGCTTGTATTGTGGCTTAGCAAGAAATCGTATCTTCTTTTCTTTTTCCTGAATGGGAAGTTGGGGGGAAAGTGGTTCTTTCTTGAGAACTTTGTAGACATAGAAGTGGATACAAAACTTGCTGGTGTAAATATTTGGCAATCATGCCTGTGATCAATTAAAAACATCTGTCTTTGAACTAAAGGTTCCTTTTGAACTGTGGGCAATCTATCAACATTTCTATAGTTATCTTTTATTACTATCTTGTCTTGAGCCCTTTTTTTAATGACATCTATTATCAGATTGAAATGGCGATTGAGACACTGCAAAAGTCTGATGGTCTGTCCACTCACAGAAGCTCTCTTCTCAACAGCCATGTAAGTTGCCTCTTCTTCATGTAAACTAATCCTTTGCTTATTCTGCATGCTTTGCTTGCCTTCTAAATGCTTGTTTTATTTTGCTACCCTCCCCCAGCTTCTGAATTTTCCTTTCCACTTTTGAACTGTCATAGCAGCTTTTTTTCAGGCAAAATATCAGTGCACCAAAACTGTTTTATTTCCCTGCTCTTAGAATGCTGCTTTTAAGTTTCCTGAATCACTGTAACCAATTCAGAAATAACAGTTGGAACACATCTGGGTTAATATGGTCTTCATATTACTGTTAAACATGATGTGAATTGTGTTGTCATTTGAGAAGGAGCAAAATCTCATAATTCTGATTAAATATAAAGTAGTTTAAATTATATATAAGCAAAACCTACTTCACTAAACTGCATCATATTGTAGTAAGGGAAGGAAATAGATAAATAACTAACCAAATATTTGGTTAGTTTGACCCCCATTCCATTTGCCCCTCTGAATCCATGTGTTTATTTTTTTACTATGGAAGTTGCTTTTTCATTTCTGTACAGACAAAATGGAGATAACTATTTCAGTATGCACACATTTCTGCCTTTTCAATACGTATTTGCAGTAATCTAGGCTTATTTGAAAGGGGTTCTAGAACAAGATACACATACTGCACAAAACAAGTACACCTGTGTGAAATAACCAAGATTTGTCTTGATGAACTGAAGAGTCTATCTAATTTGCCTCAACAGGAGTGATTCAGGGGCTGAACCATTTCCAGAAAATAATGTTGGAGAGGGTTCCTCTTAACCTTCTCTACCAGTGCAGGTCAAAGTGCTTACAGGCTACATAGCTTCAGAACTATATTCAGCATGCACTGAAATCACTCAGTCTGAGAGACCTTCAGTGCACAGAGTAGGTGGCTTCAGTGTATGCTGCAGGCTGTCTTGCTGACCAGTCTTCTGGCAAAGGTGAGCCAGCAATGTCACTCACATACCCCTTGCAGCTCCCAGAACTCTTGGTCATTGTATTCTGGAGGAGGTGAGCTGTCAGAAGTGGTGGGCAGATCTCCTGGCCAGTACACTCAAGAAGATATGGTGGCCAGAAACTTGACCAGCTGATGCTAGTGGGAGGCAAGTCATAGCACCACTTGCTTGCATGCTTTGCAACAGGTTAGCTAGAGGAGTGATAGCAGGCATGATAGCACTTTTAGTTAGTTCTGGGATTGCTGGGTGGGAGTTTGACATCTCTGACACTTGTTTCAGGATTTTCTTCCAACCACTGCTGAGCTATCCAGCCTCAGAGATTCCTCAGTGTCACAGAGAATACTCCTTTCAGCTTTTTTTAACCTGTGAACTCTGTGCAGAGAGGCTGTGAGAGGTGCTCTGAAGGAGACTGTGTTCCTGCACTTTGGCGTTAGAAAGAAAAGGGTGCCTTGCTTTGGAAATCATCTGCGGGATGGGTGGATTACTCAAAGCTTCACTGAAGCAAAGGATTCCTATGAGGCTTTGACAGTCTTTATACAGAGTATCATTTAAGAAGCAGTATAGTTGCCTCCTTTAACAGACAGTATATTTTACAAAATGACATCAGAAGCAATTTTGATTGGATCAAGATTGAATCAGTTTTACAGCAGGCGCTTTTAATTGAATGGAACAGGAAAATCATGACTAACAAATAAGAATAGTGCAGCATGATTGGTGTTTGTTCAAGAATTCCAGCTGGTAAGGAGAGGAAAATTATTTTCATTGATTTCCCTTCCTTCAGTAGTCCTATATTTACCTTTCAAACTACATGAAACTGTCTTCCACTAGTCTGAGCAGATTTTCAGGAAGGCAAAAGAATAACAAATGGAGAAAAGATTGAAAAGATTGCTTCTTTCTCCATTCTGCTCCTCTGGATTGAATGGGGGACAGTAAAAGACAAGGAAAGTAAATGTTGGGTTCCACATTGATTCCATTGGGCCTACTCTGAGCAAGGCCAAATTTTAATTAATTAATTATTTATATTAATATTTAATAAAACAACACATTAAGCTGAAAATCCCATAGCTTTACTTTAACTTTCCTTCATAGAAAAATACAGCAAGGGTTGGTGCCCTGGACCACTTGAATAATTTTAAATAGATGTTTTCAATTACTTTGTGGTATTTTAGACACACTTACTGTTCACTTATTTAAATATTATACTGGAGAGTCAATTGCCTTATTTTCTAGCCAGTGCAAATTAGTGTGATTATTTACATGGATTAGATATGGAATCCATAACACTTCTCTACCAGAAAAAGAAACCAATTTACAAAATATTTATTTTTAGTTATCTAATAATTTATAAATTCTTCAACCTTCACTGAATGTTAATATATTGATTTTTATTCTTTTGTTTTTATTAATATTTTTAACAGAAAAACTGGTTCATAAAATTGTGGTACTGTATTTTTTTTTTATTTGTATACATAAACATAGTTTAAAAATACAATTACCATATTTTTCCATCTATAAGATGATACTTTTTTCTAAAATCGTTACACTAAAAATTGAAGGGCTTATGTAAGGAAGTAACCCGAGGAGAAAACCGTGCGGTTGCGAAACTGCCCATTGCTTCCTCCTATCACTAGCCTCCAATCACGAGTGAAATAGCTTGTCTCTGCAAACAGACTT